AAATGTGATGTCTGAAATATGTGTAGCAATGAAGTTTTTATTGACTGATATAAATATGGATGGCTTTGTTCAGCTGAATACTGGTGGTAGGAGTTACTGGCGTATGTAATACATTATCTTATTACACTCATTTTATGGAAGCTGATCCTGATGGGACAGTGGAAGGAGAGCTTACTCCAGCTTTCTGGAAAAGCAATTAATCCTCCTGCTTATGTAGCAACCATGCCTTGGATTGCATTGGTGTGCTGGCACCCTTTCTCCTTTTATTAAAACAAGAATGCAGCTGCTGACCAGAAGTGCAGCTCTACAAGTGGGGCTTTCATCGTGTTGGTAAGAGATTCATATCCAGGGTTGACATCATTTCAGTTATGGCCTTTTCATTATTAAAGTTTGGAATTTCAAGTTTGTTTATTAAAGATTTAAAGCTATAGGCTAAATCACCAAATTGAAATCTATGTATTTTCCTATACTCTGATAAATGGATAAGGTGTGCTGGAAAATGTATTTTTCAGATTTTATCACCAGGTGAATTATTTTAATTGTAAAATGCATTTTATCATAAAGAAACAGACACTTTCCCCCTTAATCTTTAGCATTTCTTCTTTATAAATAACTCTCTACATCCCTCAGTTTCTAGTAAGTAAATTTAGCAAATGTTTTTAGAGTTATTGACTATTAAATGTTGGTAAAAATAGTGGCCAGGACTTTTACTTAGCCCTTGTGGCAACTTTACTGTGTACTTCATCTGTTTCTCATCAGTCTCTAAAATTGATAATTCTTTAAAACACGTGGCATTCACCAATGTTTACAAAGATTTTTTTAAAATTCAGTATAGTCTTGTATATAAGGACTCTCTTAATTTGTAATTCAGTATTTTTCATAGCAGTGTATCTTTTATTGCAAAACAAAAATTAGCAGAATACTTTTTATCTAGGGTTTTATATAAATTATTTTAAATTACATAATATTGTATAGTTCACAAAACACTTTTGCAAAGACATTCATGAAACAGTTCCAACTACAACATATTTTGTATTTTTAAATTGCTAGTGTTTTAGGGTTTTGGCATTTTAGCTCTTTTTCATTAAATTGAAGTCTATTGGGCTTTAGTTTTGACCTCTATAAATATAATTGAAATAAAGACCATTGAATATATATATGTGTGTGCGCATATATATATATATATATATATACACACACACACATATATATATTCTATCGATTTTATTCTCATTCTCTGTGTTCTGCATATGTGTTAGTAGGTTGGGGTTTTTTAAATTGATATTTGTTTTGTTATTTAAGATGCAAATATTTAGAAAAAGCAAGTCGAGTAATGTCTATGACATCACAGACATATTTTCTTTAAAGGCTATTTAAATTTCATGGTTACATATTGCAGGGGGCAGAGAAATAAATTTAAAAGTTTACAACTTCTAAGATAAAAGTGTTTGTTGCTATGTTCACACCAATTCTCTGACACCAATTGGGTGTCCTATACAGTTCAGTTCAGGTTTAGGACAGAGTCCTTCACAAGAATGCCCCTACTTCAGATGCCAGTCACAAGTTTTGGGTGTCACCAAAACACTCACACTAACATCTGGCAACTACAAATTCAGGTAGGATTTCCCACAACCTTCTCAGATTCATTAATTAACTAGAGTAACTCACAGAACTCAGGAAAGTACTATACCTATAATGGCCATTATATTATAACTAGAGGCCTTGTGCATGAATTTGTGCACGGGTGGGGTCCCTTGGGGTGGCCTGCAGAGATTGGGCCCCAGCTCGTGCCCCCAGCCTCACAGCCCCGCAGCCGTGCAGCCCTGCCTGGCACCCCACCTTGGCCTGGCACTGCCCCCTCACCTGCTCCACCATCCTGCCTGTGGGGCGATCAATTGGGGCCAGGGCCCACATCCAGTTCCCTCAGTGCCTGGGAGTCAGGTGGTGGCTCCGCCCCTTGCCGCCACCGCTGGTCACCATCTGCAGGGCGATCGGGCCCCTGCTCGCACCCACCGTGGCCTAGTGCCGCCCGCTCACCTGCTCCACTATCCTGTCACAGTCCCACTCTCATCATGGCCTATTGGGGCCCGCAACACCTCCACTGCCACCTGCTGCCAGTGCCATGTCGCTGATGCCCACCATGTTCCGTGCCGTCCCCTGGTGGTCAGTGCACATCATAGCGAGCAGTCGAATGACTGCCAAGGGGACAATTTGTATATTAGGCTTTTATTATATAGGATGGATTCAAATGAACAGTCAGATGAAGAACTACATAGAGCAAGGTCTGGAAGGGTCCTGAGTGCAAGAGCATCTGTCCCTGTGGAGTCAGGGTGTGCCACCGATATATTGAAATGTTCACCAGTCAGGAAGTGCCCCTGGGCCTGGGTGTGCAGACAATTTTGTTACACAGGCATGATTGATTAAATCATAGGACCCCGTGATTGAGCTCTCCAGCCTTCTTCCTTTCCCTGAAGGTTGGACTGCCCAAAGTTCCAACCTAATAATGTGATTGGTCTTTCTGGTGACTAGCCCTCATCCTGAAGCTGTCTAGGGCCCAGTTTAGAGTCACCTCGTTAGCATAAAAAAGACACTCCTGTAACTCAGGAAATTACAAGGGGTTTGAAGCTTTGTGCCATGGATCAGGGACAAAGGTAGATATAGTTTTTAATTATAGTTGCCTATTATAATAGTTACTCGAGGCCCGTTGCAGGAAGATTCCTGCAAGAATAGGGCTTTGCTCCTGCCTCTGCCGCCTTGGCTCCCTCCCACCTCCCGCCACCTCCTGCCACCGACTACCACCGCCCGCTGCTGCCCGCTGC